AAAAAAAAAAGTTCTTCATTCTGCTTGACTTTTCAAGCTGATTTTTCTTCCTCAGAGAAAAGCAAAGGAGAGAACCAAGGAACCAGTCAGGGTTGCCTGGGCCTTGAGTAACAGGCTGGAATGCCACCTCTCTGCTCTCATTTCTCCTTCATGTGGACCTGGGCTATTCATAGTGAAACATAAGGCTTTCCTTTTTCTGGTTTTACTCTTTTGTTGTTACTGTAACACAGAAATTAATATTGATGGAATGTATATGTGAACAAAGTAACTAGGGAATTCTCTGAAAAGAACATGCCATAAAACAGACAAGAAAAAATAAATTATTAAATTACTGACATTCAGTCCTAGCTGAGGATCTGGCCTCTCAGCACGTCAGGCTACATGTTGGAAAGGCATTCACTTTCAATGACAACAAACAGTTAAACTCCAAATGCTTCAATGTAGAACCCATACATATCTTGTCATTGGTTGAGGACTTGAGCCTAATTCAGGGCAAACAGTTTGATCTGTAAGAGCTCACTCAATATACATCCTTCACTGCCATTCACATGGGCAACTGCTCTTTGCCAGTTTAGAGCAGCAAAATAGAGGGAGGGTGTTTTTGCTTTTCCAGAGAGCTAGTCAGATTGGAAATTAACCATAGTTAACAGTTATGATAATCAACAGTGGGCAAACATATTAACTTAAATTGAATACTATTACATGCATGTAAATTCTGCAGACTCGCATTAACAAATTAGTGGAAAATATCATTCTTGTGAACCTCTAATGAGTATAAATAATGATACAGTCAGATTTGTCTTAGCCAGACTCTAAGCTACTTGAAAATTGCTATTATCTTCGGTAACTAACAAAATGCCTGATACACAGTAGGCACTCAAGAAAACATTTGTTGAATGACTAAATCAATACATTGATGACTGAATAAATGAATTGATAAATAAACCAAAGCTTGCAACTCTACCTGAGCTTCACAGATAACAAGCCTTGGAAAGCTGTGAAGCATTCAGATCTTTTACATGTTTGGGTGTATGCATCTAATGGAAAGTAAATTCAGGAGACCTGAGTTGTAATCTTGTTTATTCACAACTCTATGAGACAAATGTTATTGTTACCTCATTTAATTGATGAAAAGACTAAAGCCTAAAGAGGTAAAATAACTCACTGAAGATCACAGAATTAGTAGATCACAGTATAAGATTTAAATCCAGTTCTAATCCAGTGCTCATGTTGTTACCATTATAGGAGTCTACCCTCACACCTATGAATTTTTTGAGCAGTGAAAGAAGAACCCAGGGAGCAGGACAGGCTGCATTTCCCCACAGCATTAACCCTTCTTCTGTTTCAAAGCCCAGAGTAGAACATTGAAGAGAAAATGCTTATAAAATTCAGATACTGTTTTGGAGATGACATGAAATACACTGAGAGTCACAATGCAGGCTGGATGAAAAACCTGAGCTCTCAATAGGTCACTGATCTCAGGTTGGAGTTTTCCATTCTTTTTCTCATGGTGGGTGCTGCAGAGGTGGAGAACTGGCTTATCCAGGTCTGGTTTGGCCATCATCATCACTAGACATGGGTTCACATCCCAGCTTTGTCTCACTTCCGACTGTAGGCAACCCCTTTGGGCCTCCCTTTCCACAGTCACAAAAGTGAGAGCAGAAAAATCATCTCAAGGGGTTGTGTCAGGATTAAATGAGATGAAAATATGCAAAAACCTGTATTTATCCTAGCACATCACAGATGCTCAATAAATATTAAGTGCCTCTTCAGTTTCTCCTGTACTCTTAAATAAGATGATCTCATTTCTTTAGTCATCTTGTTTTTCTCTCTGGTCTTGCTTAATCAGTAAATTTTGGTTTCTTATTTAAAGAGGAGGAGAAATGGGTTTTCTCTTCCGGTAAAACTCTGGAAAATCTCAGACCCAAGGAACAAATTTAAAGCTAGAAATCTACATTAGACACAGCTTTCTGAGGCTCTACTTCCCAGGCTTCTTCCCCAGCTCCCATTTCCCAGGGAAAACTACACTAATGATACAGACACTTACGGGGCTTCCAGCACTGGCCAGCTCAATGGGAAAAAAACGCTTCCATAAATTATAGAGAAAGTCTTGGAAAGTTTACCTGCAGCAGAGGATCTCATCATTTTTTGTGAGGAAGCACTATTAGTCATTTACATAAAGTTGGTATAGTGGCAGGTGTAGGTTTTCAGGAAAGGTTCTGGGCAGCACAGGCAGCCTACCCTTTCCTGCTGAAAATGACAACCACCAAGGAGAAGGAAGCATGATAGGAAGTAAGCCCATGAATGGGCAAATCCACATATCAGCTAAAACTCCAAGATCCAGATCTGACCCCAGGGAAAGCTGCTTTCTCAGACACATCAGAGCTTTGGATTTTTTTTTTTTTTTCTTACTCACTATGACTTTATTCACTATAAAGGGGATAATTGGGATACATAAGTGGGAGGTCTTTGTCAGTGGCTCTCAGCTCTGGCGGGACATTAGACTTGCCTTGGGAAGGGAGCCTTGAAAATAATACCAATACCTGGATGTCACCCCAGACTCATTTAAAAGAGTGGGGCAGTGGGCCAGAATTGATATACTTTTTAAACCCCAGGTGATTCTGTAATAGAGCTAGGAATGAAAAACACAGGTCTAGCTAGTGTTTCCCAAACTGGCATCTCATAGAACACTGCTCCACAGAATATTAATACATGTGCCACATGCCCACAAGAAGTTTTTTGGTATTAAAATAATTTTGTTAAAATGCTATATTAAATAAAGTTAAACAGGTGTCTTTACTGTACAATTTCTGAGACGTTATGCCCTTGGGGGCACTGTGCCTCAACTGGTGGAGTATTAACTTTATTCAGCCAGTTTTGTTGATCACACCTTTTATAAAGCCTATCAGCTGGTGACTTCTGTAACAGTGTGCTAGGGAACACCAATCTGAGCACCTGTTAGTCTTGGACTTGGCCTTGGTTACACATTATCAAAAAAAAGGCAGAGAGAGTCTTGATCTGAGGCATCCACCAGTGGCCATGTTCTGTAATCTGAAATGCCACAGGACCATCCAGATGCTGGCATTAATACTATTTTGAGAATGAGCCTTTAATTATTATGCTCATCATTAAATAATGGTTGCAATAAAGACTTACCTCCGGAATTTCCGAAGAATAAGTCACTTTAATTACAGTAATGTATATTTCAAAGCTGTTTCATTTTTTTATTGTATTTCCACCCTGAAAAGAAAATTTGTTGCTGTTTTGAGTTATAAATTGCCCCCAAAGAAGGGGAGCTCCTAAAGATTCATATCACGTTAGTATACCCAGAGACACTCAGAGAGAAAGTCTTTAACTCCAACCAGGGATCTCTGAAAGGAGGTGGAAATAAAACAGAACTGACAGTGATATTGAGTTTGAGTATGTGCAGAAATTAATGATGTACTAACTATCTAACTGCCTAAAATAAAAATGGGTAGTCAGTGATTTGTATTTTACTGAGCAGAAGTGGCAAATTTTCTTATGTGCAGCTGAGATTATGTACTGCTGTAAATGAAACCCAAACTCTAGTTCTCAGGATCTGAGAGGGAGCTCTTTGAGCCTGCATCTTCCCTTCGTAATAGAAGCCTGCATATTCCCTGAATATCTGATTTATTCCCTTTTCAACAATGTCATTCTTCCATTCCATTTGTAGTTGGTAATATATAACCATGAGCAATTTCTAAATCACATTGAACTAGTGACCATACTACACGCCAAGGGCCTTAGAAATTATTCAAGTTCGGTATAATGAAAATAATAATGATAATAATTTGTATTACTGTTATTGCTATCATTAGTTGAGCACTTACTATGTACCAGGTTGCATGTGTTATCTTAATTTAATCATCAAAACAACTCTCTGAGATGAGTTTGGTTGGCCGTCTTGGCCTGATGGAAAGCTGCTGCAGCTAAGAGAAGTAAAGTAACTTGCTCAAGTGAGCATCAAAGCTGAGACTGGAACCAGTGTCCGTAAACGCTCTTTGCAGTGTGCTCTGCTGTTAAACTTATGGTATGTCTTTTCCACCAATTAAGAGAAATGACAGCTGATACATTTGACTTAAAGAAAATGGCTTTTGGCATTTATCCACATTATTTTCCACTATCTAATTCTAAAGCACAAAATTTCTAGTTGTGGCAAAAGCTATTTTTATATTTTATTTTTATTCCCCAGAAAACAGTTTCCAATGTTGAAGAATAATAATCTTATCAATATAAATAACCTACCTGCAGGTGTTTTATATCATATTCAATGACAAACTATGAAATGTAACATTTTTTCTTTGACAGCCTATGAAATCCATCATCTATTTTCATAGATCCTTCATTCAGAAACAGATTTGATTTTCAGGATTTATGGTCCGATCAAAAATATTTGAATTAAAGATTTGCAGCTTTTAAAATCAATATCAGGATTTACTAGTAAAAACCTAGAGTCAGTGGGTGAAATGTTATTGTAATCACTTATCCTTTGTGACCTTTAAAAGAATAAAAAAATAACTGCTGTCTCATGCGTATAGTTTATATCCCAAAACACTAGATAAGAGCAAGAAACTTTTTTCATTCACCCTGTAGTTCGTGACTCTTGCAAGAACTGCCAGTATACTGCTACTAGGAGGCAGAGGCATTGTATGATCTCAGTGTTTAATAAGACGCAAATAGATGAGATAGAAAAAGGCCTTTATTCACCTGCTGTGTCTTTACAAGAGTCACCAGAATGGAGAGAAGTATG